GAGGAAAAAGAACGACACGCCTAGATGTGGGATGAATGCGTTCTGGCCGCCCCCCCCCCGTCTGCTCCCGCGCCGTGCCCTTCTCTCTCTCTCTCTCTCTCTCTCTGTCGCCGGGAAACATGTGCCTTTGCCGTGTGCATGCGCCCTCGCGCTACCACCCCGCGACACCGGCCGCGGCATTCATCCTGCGGCTTGCCAACCGGGACCTTCTACACTCCCGGCCATGTCGACATGACATGACGCGGTTCATGCTTCACGGTGAACATAATCTATCCGCACAATGTAACGGTCCGCCATCCATGGCCGTTACGGTGGCTTTGACATTCAACGTGGAATCGCTGACGGTGCGCGGGACGATGGCGTGGAAAACGGGCGGTCTCCTTCTTATTCTGACGACCACGATCGGGTGCTTTTGTCTCGCCCGGGTTTCCACCCCCCCTGTTGGCGTACTTCGACGGACTGCTGCCTGCATTCCGCTGGTGAAATGCACATTTCTTTCGGGCGGGCTTTAACTCCGAACTCGCATTCGTGTTGAACCCCTGGTGCCTCGTACTGCTGCTGCCGAATGCACTTACGCTCGCGGCAACGTGTCGTGTCTGATTGTTTCGTTGTGTGTGAAAAAAATTACCGTAGATGGGAGAAACAAGGGGTCTTTCGAAGTTCTCTCCAAAACATTTGCTTCGCGCTCTTGTACGTCGTGGGCAACCTTAGCGCAGACCAGATCTTCCGGCTGTACTATGGCAGGCCGCCGCCACCCCCACCACCATCCTCGGAGTCGAAATAATAGCCTAGGCAGCCTGATTGGCACCGACAACAATCACCCAGCGCCACAACTTTACCAGGGCCTCTCCTGCCACATCGTGTTATTCCAGCAGTATGTGTTGTGAGAATGCTGTATCCTGCGCAGCGGATTTCCGACGGATTCATTTCGATTGGTCGGGTTCACGTTGATTGTTGTGTTCTCGTTTGTTTCGGCGGGGAGAGTTTGCCGTGAGTGTTGGGTGTGTAGGGTGTTTGCGTATCGTCATGTTTTTATTATTTAGTTTATGAATTTAGTATTATATTTGTCGGAACTGCCGGCGCGTGACTATTGTCCGTTTTTTTGTTCGGATGATCGGTCATTGGCCGGATGTCGCGTATTTCTGTGTTGTCGAGTATTATTGCTGTGTGATGCAGCTCGAAGTGTAGAGGGAAGCGTAGTTTGTCGTGGGCTTTCCGCCATTTGAGGAAAGCGCGAGGCTTCCAAATAGTTTGGACGTTTTGTGTGATTGGCGTCGTGTTTGTGTGCGTGTACAGTAGATCGTCCCGTTCACGTTGGACGTCAGTCTGTAGACTACTGTACACCTTTCGATATATGTTCTGCACGCATCAGGCGGGGGGCACACAGAGGCAGGAGTATTTCGTTGTTTTCGCTCAACGTTCCATCTACGATGATTGCCTTAGTTTTTACCTCGAGAAGGATTGAGCCGTTCCTTTCCGTCGTCGACCATGAAGTCGATTTTGTTGGGTACACATCTGGCTTGTTCGCTTTCCACAAGTTTTGATGGACGTATTTATTGTGAGAAATACAATCTTGCTTCGTGCGACTGTTGCCTTGGGACAAATATGGAAATATGTATGGTACCATGTAATAGTGCAGTATCGATCGTACTCTGACGTGGGCTAGGAGATCCATCATCACTGCTGTGGTTCGATAAAAGAACAATTCCGTACCCCTTTTTGGGGCTGATTTAGTTTCTTTTGCAACTCTAAAACTATCGGCTTGATGGGTTTGTCCCCACTCCCCCATCCTCTTCCCTTGCCCCACATTTCCGCAGTTCAGTTGGTTTTAGAGTTGACCGATCTCCGGTTTCTACTGTAGAGCAAGAGGAATCAGTATCTGTTCTGTTTTTTGTTTTTTTCTCTCATGTTTCGGTAGGTTGCACTAGTCCCGATCCAGCTATCGTCGCCCCTGTGATAGCCTGCATGGTAGCCGAAGTCGGGACCCAATAGAGCATAAAAAAACGCAATGGTTGCCCGCGGAGGCCGTAGGAGACAGGGCAGGGCATGACCCCTTTCTTCAAGCTGAAGCTCGTTGGGGGTAAGCCTTGTAGCCTGTACCGTCGTCTCCAGAGAGAAAAGCAATAGAAAAATATGCTACTGTAAGAGTTTTGCGCGAAAGGGGGGCGATAGTCGCTTTCGTCCACAGAAAATACGCTACTATGATACGAAAGGTAGACGAAAACACTCCCCAAGAAACAGGGCAAATGCTGTTGTCAACAAGCAAAACCCTCTCCCACTTGCCCCTGTCCAGTACCTGACTGGCCCATTGTCTGCACGCGATCGCTTGCAAGTGCTACAGGCTCTCTGGTTCCCCTCGCCGTCTGCCTCCGCCTTTCGTCCCTAACTTTCGCCAACTGAGCGACTATATATAAGAACCGCCAGATTTTCGCAGCTCAAGAAATCGTAAGGAAACAAGACCCTTGAGGTGGTATATTGGTCAATGGCCCTCCAAACCTTGGAACGACCGCCTCGCAGTCTAGCTACCTACCCGGCAAGGAGAGCGACCGGGGCGTCGCCCCCGGCGCTACCCCTTCCCTCCTGGGCACCCTCCGCCGCCTCGCCGTTCGCACCGGGGTCGACGGCTTGAGCATCACGCCCCACGGCCGACCGCACCCACTCGTCGAAGAGATCTCTCCCTCGCGCGGAAGAGCCGCCGCCGCCGCGCTGCAGGCCGGCCCGGCGCACCAGCTCGTTGATCTCGTCCACGAGGGCGGTGCACTCCTCGGCGTTGGTGGTCTCCAGCACCATCCTCTCCCTCGTCGCCCCGGCAGGGTGTTGTTGAGGCGCCGCCCCCGCCCCCGTCCCCACCGCCGCCGCCGTTGCCGCGCTTCCCGACGCGCTTGTTGCACTCGCACCGAGCCTTTCCGTCGGCCCTGTGGTCGTCGCCGCTGACCCCGGACCACCCCGCCACCGCCTCCCGTGCACGAGGTTTGCCGGGAGCGTGCCTCCGATCCCCCACTTTCTGCGCCCTGGCGCCGGGCTGCCACCTCCGCCGCCGCCGCCTTCGTCAGCGTCCTCCCCCGCACCGTTGCTCTCGGAGCCCCCTCCATCCTTGTCCTTGTGGTGGGGGTTGTCGTGGCCAAGGCTGTCGGCGGCCTGCACCAGCGCGAAGCAGCGGTCGTCGGTGGTCGAGCGTGCAGGTTCTGGGTGGTCGCCCCGCCCCTTGGAGGCGCACAGGCCGGCTAGCGGCATGTGGGAGCTCTTCTTTGAGTTCTTGGTCCTGAGAAAGGTTGCGGAGACGGTTTTTTTCGTGGGAAGGATATGATGTGGGCGGCATCTTCCCATAAAGCGTCCCCAAAACTGAAAATATGCGGCCAACAACCATTTGTTGCAGTTTGCTGCATGCATTCCCGTATGATGATATGAAGCATGTTCTTCTCAAAACTTCGATTGAGGCTACTACTGTGCGAAACTGCGGGGGAAAAGTAACCCTATGCTGCTGTGTTGTGCATGGGCGAGATCACGACACGTTTGGCCTTGTCTAATCTCGAGCTCATACTTTCTCTCTCACCTTCCGGCCTGGGTGTAAAATATCTCCGACAGGTCGGGAGTGACCCACAACATCTTCGCCTTCGGCTTGCCCCTCCCGCCGTACTTAAGCACAGGCACCCCTTCCACCAGTCTCGGCCGAAACGCGGCCGCGTCCGGGTCTCTTCGTCCCTCTTCTAGACCGGGCTGCTCGGGGGTGGCTTCGATCCCGTGTCCCGCTTCGCTCTTGGCCTCTTCAATTTTTCCACCGTGCGGAGTAGACTTTTCTTCTCCTGGCTCATCGTCGTCGCCGGAAAACCTGCCGGTTGATGCGATCTGAGCCAGAGGAGGAGGAGGAACACCTTCCGCCGAAGCGTTGTCAGCACCTTCTCGAGTCTCGGCGTCCGTCGTGAGCCGTTCTGTTCCTCCAGCACTCCCTAGTCCCACCACCCCGTCCTCCGGAGCTGCTCCCCCCAAGTCTGCCAAGGCTACCTCGGTAGTGTTGGACATCCCAACCGTCGGACGAGGATCGCTTGCAGGAGGTGCCGCCGTTTCTGAAAACGTGCAGGCCGGTTGGCGACAATGCCGCGGGGAAGGGCTCTGCGGCGGCACGGCGCAGTCCTGGCCCGGCGATGGCGGCGATGTCTCGGGCGCCCCCGACTTCTCCTCGCCACTCTGGTCTAGCTGTGCTTCCGGCCGTCTACCATCGTCCGTCACCGTACCAGCAACCTCGGTCGGAGCCGAGCAAACCTCCCCCCCCCCGTCCTCCTCCTCCTCCACCTCCTCCTCGACCTCTTCCATACAACAGTTCCCTTCCTCTAGGATGGGTCCCACCGGTCGTACCGTTTCCCTGGCCGGAACGCTCGCGGGCACCCTCGCGGGCGGTGTCGTCACGTGCGTGTTCGAGGGCATGAATGTTACCCGGTTAACGCCTCGGGGATAGGACATCGCCATCACGCGTCCGGGAATCTCGGACTTCCGCGGGGCGAGCTGCTTTCGCGCAGGGTATACGACGGAGGGGACAGCGGCGGCGGGTGGAGCGTTGCTCCTCCGACCGTTTTTCCCCGGCGGGATGCCCGCTTCTTCTCCGCGTTTGCCTCGCTTCTGTGGGTGGGCTAGCGCTTGGGTGTTTAGGCTGGTTGCCTCTTTTGCTCTGGCGGGTGATGGGTCTACCCTCGAATTGCGGCTCTTGCGGAGTTCTTTGACTCTGACGCAGCCTTTACTCTCCGGAGTCATGCGTCTGGTACGGGGGGAGACTCTCTGATTGTCGCCCTCTGCGTTTCCAGTCTCAGCGGGGCTCCGCGAACGAGTGTGCCCACGAGGAGTTGGGGAAGTTGGCAACGATTTAACCGCCAGAGTCGCGTTCTTTGCTTCCATCTGGCGGATCTGTTTCTCCCGTATACGGAGTTCATGCACCAGAGCCTGTTGACGAGGGAGAAATCGCACGGGAACAGGCTGAGTTTTTCGGAGGTATTGGATTTATTGAGGAGGGGGACAGAATTGTTCGAAGCGTAAGAACGGGACAGACGGGTAGCTCTATGCTGTACCGGAGGCTCTAGCGGGCTACGAGTATTTACGAGCTTTGGGTGATCCCGCCGGACAAACTTTGAACCCGACGCCTACGTCATGATTAGATTATCCATCTCTGTTCGACCCTACTGCTGTGGTCGATGCACGAGAAGACATGTCACCGTAGTTACTGAGAGGGCGGATGTGGGACATGTATGTGTGGTGTGAATGTAGAGTAGATTAAAAGTTGACGTTTATTTCGAATACTTGCAAGCGCGAGATGCAACTTGGGCGTAGACAAATAGCGGCAAATCGACGAAAGCTGTCAAATCTCTTGGTTTGATAACAATACCATCGCATTGTGTGCCTACCGCTCCACGCCTATGCCCAACACTACAAGTACAGCAAGCCATTTGGTTGCCTGGTTGTTTCCGGCTTTCGCAGAACTTCCCAAGGCCCATCTTGAGCTGTTGTCCTCTATTCTCCTCCCAAACTGTTCGTCTCGCAGAAACATGAAACGCCCCGAGCCCCAGAGCTCGGGACAACAGCTGCACAAAAACAACAACCACGCCTCAACGATAGCCTCAAAAATAAATATCACAGCTACTAGTTGTGGCGACGTTTCCATGCATCCCTTGGAGCAGACAGAGCCTACGACACCGACGTGGTGCGTACCTCGAAGTCGGTTTTTATGCCCTCCACAGCCGCGCGAAGATCCTGCTCCGCCGCCTCGGCTGATGCTGCCCTAGCCTCAGCACGCGCCGCCTCCTCCGCTGCTCTGTGCTCGGACAGCGCCAGGGCCGCTACCTGCTCTCTCAGGCTCGAAACTACCAGCTCAAGCTTTTTTATCCGCTTGGAGCCCGCTTGTTCTCCCTGCGAGAAGTAGCCACAAATCATGAGCGGGAAAAGTTGAACTTGCTAATCGGAGACTTGGCCTCGACAAAAACCCGCGGGATTGTAGGTGAATGAACCATCGCGAATCTATCCTGGACGCTTGTTCATGGATACAGAATAACCGACATACTTTTCAAGAAGCACGAAAAGTAAAACGGTTATTCCGAAAGCCATCCCGAATCTGAAAGGCTCGTCAAACGACTCTCTTCGGCCCCCAAACAAACCAGAAACGACCACGTATTTGGGGCCCTTCTACCCACGCGGAAAGCTTTGTAGTTGCATGGCTCGGGAATCTCCTGTGATGACGTTGGGTGCGGAAGCTGTGCAGAAGCATTTACCCATTGCAAGCTACCGCGTTGCTTGATGAATATCTCTATTAATTAGAGCTTCATTGGGAAAAGCA